CGTGTCCCTGCCCAGCTGGCTGGCCGCAGCGCTGTCGGCCTGAGCTTGTCCTCTGCCCCCTGGCCCCCGCCGGCCCCTGCTCTCCCATCTCCCTCAGGCCGGGGGACGGAGGCTCAGTCCTGCTTCCTGGCCCCTGAAGGGGGACAGACGGTCTGGGGTGCCCAGCGCAGGGGACACGCCTGAAGAAGTGGCGATGACGTGGCCTGGACGAGACGGGCCGTCCTCCCCAACAATATCCTGGTGCTGAGTGATGACTCGCAACTCCAGCATCAGTGATTTTGTTGAAGAGGGCAGCTGCCAGCCTCCGACCTGCCCGCGTGCCCACTCGCCCTCATGCCCCAGCACAGGCCCGTCCGTGGCCCCGCCCACGAACTCCCCATGGCCCTGCGCCCAGACACCCCCGGGCGGCAGGCAGGGCCCCGGGACACTCAGGACCGAGCTTCCCCAGAGAGGAGCTGAGGGCGACGGTGTGGTGGGCGGGAGGAGAGACCAGAGCCCCAGCTGGCTGCCCCGAGAGAGGAGGGATGGAAGGGCCAGCAGGCTGGTGACCCAGAAGAAGTGGGGGTGCAGGATGAGGTAAGGGGAGTGACCGCTGGCCAGGCTGCTCCGAGGGCCCGGCCTGTTCTCCATCCCCTGGGCCTCATGGTCCTCGTCCACATGGTAACGTTTGTGGCTGGGTCCCTGTGGACCCAAAGTGCCCGGTGCTGGGCAGGGGCAGGAGCGGGGCTCTGGGCAGAGGAAGGTGGCCGTCTCTTGGACACCCTCCCTGCCCGTCACGGGGCAGAGCCAGGACACAACCCCCTCGGTGGCCTGAAGCCCCCGCTGGGCACAGCAGGCTGACCCCGCCTTCCACCCCCAGTGACCTGGCTCTAAGGAACTGCCTGCTCACGGCCGACCTGACAGTGAAGATCGGAGACTACGGCCTGTCCCAGGGCAAATACAGAGTGAGCGCCGAGCGCCGACCAGGGGGGCCCAGAGCTGGAGGGGCCGAGGGGCGGGGCCCAGGACTGGAGAG